TGAGAATTGCTGGTTTCTTTGCGTCGTTACCTTTTCTAACATATCTTTGTAATAAAAGACTAAAGCCATCAATACACTGCGTTCAATGATAGAGAAAAAATAGCACAGATAGTGCGGGTGTTGAGTAAATAAAATGATCGCTCTTTGCAATCCTTGTGCGCGCGCGCTCAATTGCATCAGCAAAAGCGCGCGCGAAAACTGTGTTCGGCCACCTTAACTTCCGTATGTTACTTTCAAATGAACAGTCACGCGAACCGAACATGTAATGGTTTCACACTGAAGAAGGGCCATGCCGAAAACGCTTGTGATTTTTCACAAGATGACATTGACATTTTTATACGTTATTAGTTTTCAATTTTTATTTTGTTTTGAACGTTCATATCCATTTAAGTGTCACGCATCAACCGGGGATAACAATTTCTTTCGTTTTTGTTCATCCTATACATTTGACCCTGGAAAGATCCGATCTGAAGTCTGAAAATATCGGACTTCCGGTTGAGTTGCGCATGTCTAGCTGACAAACACGTGGCTCAATTGAGACCCTGGTGTTTTACTTCTGCTCATTTCCATTGTTTTTAAAACCAACCAAAATCGAGCCTGTAACGGAACTTTCGGGAGTCGTTCGTTTCGTCAAACCAGCATGCGCAGTGAGGAACGAAGACTGGAGGTACAAGGTTGCTGCCGATAGATATCGCGGGAACTCTGGTTTCTTTATGTGCGAAAGGAAATGCGTTTTTTTCTCCGACGAGTTACGATTGAAGCCAACGTTGAAAAACATAGCTATGCATTCCTTTTGCAAAATCATACTTTTTTCATTAAATTACGAATTTTTCAATATTTTGAAATTCTCTCGAGCTCAAAATCTGACCTTTTAGAAATGAAACAAAATCTATGCGCAGCGTAATAAAGATATCAACTCAAGGAGGAAAATCCCGATAAAGTAATATGTTTGGGAACATAAACATTTTTTCAGAATAAGTAACAGGACTATGGGCGCGGCTATGATGACGTCATCACTGGTGTAACTGATTATGAAAAAGTTAAAATACATGAAATAACTCTGAACTAACTAAAAATGACAAGGTTATATGAGAAAAAAATTTCATTAGCAACGGCTTAAAAAGGTTAGTTAATGGTCCCTTAACCGCATCAATCGCATTTAAATAGAGGGAAATCCGAGGTCACTTAGTCATTTCTTCTTTTTACTCTGATAGTTGGTACTCTGATAGTCTCCACAAAAAAAAAGCCAGGCGACTAAGCGAAAAAACATACTAAGATATGGGACTCCGCTCGTGCGCGGCAGCTCCGCCATTGACATCTGGTGAATGACTTTGTTGTCAAATCAAAGCGGGTCTAATAATTATGCATATATTCAGAGAGATTCATGGTAGGCCTTTCCACAAATATCACGTAAAATCCCCTAAAAATCTTTCGGAAGTTCTCAAAAAACATCCCAAATTTCACCAAACATCTTCTAAATATCTCGAAAACCCCTCCAAATAACTCTTATTTTTGTCGTAAAAATGTACCGATTTTGAATCTCTTGAGGTGAAATTTTTAAAAGTTCTTGCAGTGGCAGGAGTTGAGGAAGAAGTTTCAGGCGCTTTGATGTTACCGGTATCCGCCATTTTTGAAATTTGTTCCTTCAGTGCTTTTAGTGATATGGAATACATTTTTCGAAAAGAAAATTGCTGGACTGGATTGTTTCTGGAATAAAACTGGGCTTTGTTTCGAAGGAATAGCGAGGAAACACAGGACTCAGGCAAAACAAGCTATGAATATTTCAAAAAATCCCTTAATTTTCTAAATATTTTAATACTTTCTAAATATCTCAGAAAATTCTAAATATCCCCCAGAATATCCGGATATTTGTGGAAAGGCCTAATCCATGGCCATAAAAAGTCATTATATTGTTCAAGCAAGTCCAGTTTAGTGTTTATCCTTGGCTCAGTGCGTCAACGTCCAGCTGACTGTCTACTTGTCCAGCATATAAATGTTCCTTCCTCCATTTAATTCTTCTATTCTGAAACCAAATCTTCACCTGAGTTTCGGAGAGATTTAATTCTCTGGCAAGACGCTCTCGTTCTGTACCAACAAGGTACTGTTGCCGGTCAAACGCTGACTCCAGTCGCTTTAACTGATCTGAAGTGAATATGGTTCGTTTACGTCGCTTCTTTGTTTCTGGTTTATCTCTCAATCCTGTCGCCAGGCTACCTGCCAAAACCGGTAAAAAGGAAGTCAAGATATATTTTTAGACCAAAATAGGTCGCTAGTAATTTTTATTTATTTATTTATTTATTTGTTTGTTTAATTTTAATTTACTCAATTCAATTATAACACGATAAACAAAGGAAACAATAAATGACTTCTACACACTTAAGCCAGTTTATACAGAACACTCAAGCTAAATTTCCTCGTTAAAAATAACCTGCCTGGAAGAATGTGAATTTTAAGTGCTTCTCGATTTGAAAGCCTCGATCAGTTATTGCCAAGTATAAGAGTTTATACTGAACAAAAATTGCTTAAGGTGGCTTATTACAGTTTTGATGGATTATAACAGCTCAACTTCTAACTCTTTTGGAAAATGTTCCAAGATGTGTTTCCTTTCTCTATTTACTGTTTACTTAAGTCTCTTACCATTCTATGTGAAAATTAAACAATTAAACGTCAACAAGTGGCCAAAATGAACGACCGATTACCTAGGGAGAGACTGGGCACTAGTAGGTTAAATCACGTTTTTCGCAAAATCTACCCATATGATCCCACCTCAAAATTTTAGGAATAAGAAATTGGCTCTGATTTAACATTCATGCAAAGTAAAATAAAACTCTGTAAGACAGATCGTGAGCTATTTTTGATTTCACATTTTCTTAGTTTGCGAAAAACCTGTCTTACAGATTTTTATTTTACTTTGCATGAATGTTAAATCAGAGCCAATTTCTTAATCCTGAAATTTTGAGGTGGGGTCATACGGGTAGATTTTGAGAAAAACGTGATTCAACCTACTTTTGCCCAGTCTCTCCTTTGGCACTCGTTCGTTCATTTTGGTCATTTGTTGACGTTTAATTGTTCAAGTTTCACATAGAATAGTAAAAAACTTAAGTAAACAGTAAATAGAGAAAGGAAAAACATCTTGGAACATTTTTCAAAAGAGTTAAAAGTTGGGTTGTTGTAGTCCATTAAAACTGTAGTAAGCCACCATAAGTTTCTGAACTATGTGTTAAGAATCGATAAGTGTTCCCCAACAACATTTTGTAGTGGAGGTTACATCAAGCCTGGTTGTTCAAAGCAGGACTTTAATGATTTTGATTCTATTTCGACTCTAGTCCTACTCACTAGTGAGTCACGTGAGATAAGTGCGAGTAGCCCGAGCGATTAGTTGCGCGCGTAATTCCAGAGCGGCCGGTCGCGTCTCTCCAAGCTCTTTGATTATGGCGAATACGAACGAGCAAACACTTTCCACTGAGGCAGAGGACGCCCTCTTAAACGATGACCACGATCCTAAGGAGAAGACCCCAACAACTGCCCGCCAGGATCCCATGTTCAGTATGCTTCAGAACGTCAACAAAACCCTCGGAGCGATGGCAGACTCGATCCTCAACATGAACCAGTCACTCAAGCGGATTCATCCCAGCAACACAGACGATCAACTCGACCCTAAACGGCAAAAATACAGTTCCAAAGACGAAATGAGCGCTTCTGATGGTTCAGATGATGATGGAGATGACTCGGACGCAGAACTTCAGGCCCTTTGTGGCACTGAAACCGACAAAACTTCCAAAGATAAACCACGTGCTCCACTCGAGCAAATCGACGGCGGCAATGACCCATTGTTGTCGGAAATCGCAGAAGATCTTCTCAGTGCAGACGAATCAGGTCCGGCTGCTGACAAACAACTGGCTGACTTTATTAACAACCTGTGGTCTAAGAAATTGCCAGACTCGAAACTAAACTGAGTCGGGGAAGTATTTACGCCCGGCGAACTGCAAGACTCTCGCAACACCGCGGGTTAATCCCGAAATCTGGGATAAACTGGGCCACTCAGTAAAACAACAGGACCTCAGGTCTAGCTCAACCCAGAAAACGGTTGGCACTACTGGTGCTGTACTGTGCAAATCCATTGAGAGGCTGCTAGGAATGAAGAATTCGAAGCAGCCGAAGTCAGACTCTGACATTCAGAAACTTATAAAATTGAACACAGATGCGGTCGCTCTCCTAGAGCACGCTCATGTCGACTTGTCCCACCGTCGCAGAGATCGTCGATCAAACCGCATCTAAATAAAGATTATGCAGGCCTGTGTGCTCCGCATGTTCCAGTAACAGCTCTGTTGTTTGGAAACGACCTGCAAACCCAGCTGAATAATATACGAGCATCAAACAGAGTAGTCACCGCAGCAGTTGGGAGTCGCCACAAAAACATAAAGGGACACCCTTCAGGAAACTACCCAAAATCTGATCGGCGAAGCAAGCCTTTTTTATCAAAAGGTCGTCAGTGGAACTCGAAGACGCCCAAAACCCTTCTTCCGATCGTAAGACCAGGGGAAGAAGCAGCAATGATTTCCGCTGACACACTCGATAACTTAGAGGTAAATAATCTCTTGTTGTTTGAGACCAATATGAAACATTATTTTGCTAATAAGGTACAAAGCTTCAAGGGTGGCCATCTGGCACGTTCCCTTGACAAATGGAAGGAAATAACTTCTGACTCAGAAGTCCTTAATTGTGTTAAGGGTCTGTATGTTGAATTTTCCACACAGCCCACAAAGAACTTGGGCCCCAAAAGAAAACATCCAACATCTGTGACTCACTGGTTATAGAAGTTGAAATTCAAAAATTGCATGACAAAGGCGTCATTGTACCCACCCAAGACAAAAGTGGGGAATATATTTCGCCAATTTTTGTGGCAAATAAAAAGATGGATCATATCGAATGATTTTACATTTGAAAAGCTTCAACCAGCATGTTGAATATCAACACTTCAAAATGGACTCATTCTGGAAAGCAATTTATTATAGGCTCATTACCCCAAATTGCTACATGGCGTCAGTTGATTTAAAGGACGCTTATTACTCGGTCGTGACTGGCATCTCATAGAATTACAGTCAAACTTCAACTTCCAGGTAAGTCTCGTTTAACTTATAAATTTTAGCTGTAAAACTTTTCAATCAGATTTTGAAACTTCGATCATGTTTTAATACTGAATTAACATTAAGCGCAGTTGTCCATCCTCCTATTCTTTAGCCACATTGTTAACAGCAGAGCAAATAAAATTGCACATCATAGATCTTCATCAGAATCAAATTATTTAATTACTCGGGCTTCCGTAGGAAAGCCCGAGTCATAAAATGCAAGCCTGTCTAATGGTCCCAGGCGATCCTAGCGTAGACCTTGGAAACTGGGGATGAGAGTGCGACAGCTCGTGTTATCGTGAACTCGCTCCTAGTAATCAACATAATTTACAGAATACGGTGTTTCGTGAAAAGAGGTTGCGAAAGAATCACGTCGTATACGTACATCTCACATACAAAGATGTCACTCGTTTTCGGAACGAGTCGGTCAAGTAATTATATCGCTTGAAAGCCTGCCAAATAATCAAAGTTCATGCTCGTTCTCGAGAGAGAACAAATGAGCAGATATTGAAAAAATCAAGAATAGATTCATAAACAGAGCTTCGAAGATGAAGCAAACAACGTGCAATTGGATAAAGAGGATACTCGACTGAGCAGCTTGAATAGTGAATATCCAAGCGTAATTCTTGTGTTAAAACATCCTGATTCTTTTATTTGTTTTTATTGTGTTCAGTAAGCTTACTTGTAAAGTACGATTTGATATTGCGGTATGAAGCCCGAGTAAACGCTCTTAGAGCGTCTAGTTACCTATAAAACCTAAGCCGTTCTAAGCACGTAAGCACTTAAACTACTTTAAAGACAGTACCCCATCACTTTGAACTATGTAAAAGAAATCAAATTTTCGGTACTTTTGGGGTTTTTCAATTTCTTGCTTTTGACTTGTTAGTAATTAGTTTTACTAACCTAAAAAGACAGTCAATGGCGTCATGAACCTTCCAGCATTACAAATCCGTTAAATTATCTAACTTAATCTGTTGACAGTTTAACAACTTGGCTTAGGCTTAGAAAGAAAAACCTGGCTTTTTTAGAGATTTAGAAACGTTTTCAGACATTTAGAACTATAGCAATATTTAGATTTCTTGATTATGCGTCAAATGTTTTCAAGAGCTTCTTTGCGTTTGGAGCTGTTTTGCTCAGTTTAGTTTCAACGCATGCAATATCATCGCAGTTGTGTACGCAGTTTAGGTATTTCAGTCTTGAACGGGATTCGAAAATTTTTGTTGTTGTTTTTCTGTCTTAATTTTGGCCACTTCCGAAGTTGCATATGTACATAACTCTCATGTCTCGAAATCTTTATTCCGCATTTAAAGTATATGTTCACTTACGCACCAGTGCCAACAGCAATCTGATAAAGCAGTTGCCACTCAATAAAGTTTCATTTTATTTTGAAACTGAAAGAAAACCACAATAACTTGGGAAATAAAGCGACTATAATTTAGAAGGATGTTTTGACTATTTTGGGGCTATTTTCGGAAGATGTTTCTGCGATTTGACGTCATATTTACATTTAGCCCTGACTTGGCAAGTCACTGTTTTGCATATTTTACTGCCTAAAAGTAACGCGACGCCATTCAGAATTTAAGTGACTGGTCTCTTTCGGCAGCCGTCAGCCAATAAATGACAATGAGTTAAAAACAATTAAATGGAGAGAAAGCTTGCATTGGCAACGAAATAATTATGTTGAAATTTATGGGTAAATAATTAACAAGAAACTCCGGACGCGAAGGCAGTATAATATACGGTACGTATATTGGGATTACTCCAAATCTCTATTAATTACATCTTCAAACTGAAGACAAACAATGTTTTTAAAACAGTCTGAGCAGATTTTCATTCCGCTTAATTCCTCTTAAAATAGATACGGAATCTACTTCTCCACCATTCCTTCTTTTCCAGAAATATTTTATATGTACGATTTGTTTACCGTTTTATTGTTCCTTCCTATCACTACCTTTTATGATCTCTTTTGACTAAATATGCCGGATAAATTAACGAATAATTACCTATAAAAAGTGTACTCAGAGAACAATAAGCCGTAAAATATAATTCAAATATATGAGAGGAAATAGCAAAGCTTATTTTTAATTGAACCGAGTACACAATAATTGAATTTTGCTCTTTTCTCCAGGTTTGGAGAAATGCCAGCCCTTTGACTTTTAACATGGTTCATGAACAGGGCAACAAGAATGAATGAGAAGTTAACATTCTGATTTAACCGGAAGAAAATGCATGGCAAAGAGCAGCTCGCAAATAATATATTAAAGTTTTTAATTGCAGTTTGACTTACCTTGCTGTCTGTTGTGCGCTGTTTGACTGAACGGAAAAAACAACTGCTGGCCCGGTAGACAGTGAGTCGAAGGGACATAAAATCCTGTAGGTCTTGAGATAACACCGAATGCAGATGGAACAAAGGCGGGACGCTCCGTTTTGGAGTATAGCCGTGGATTCCCTTGCATCTGTAACAGCGAACTTGCTTGTAACCGCAAGTGGGATTCGCTAGGTTTTTGGCACGTAAGAGAAGCCTGGCAAACATGAGCACTGTTTCTGTCCTCCACGCAGCTTGGGTACGGACAAGAGCAGTAGGAACGGAATGAAGACTGGAACACACTGCCCGGCTGCATTTTGCACACGAAAGGTAACAGCTTACTTCTGTCCAGTAAGGGGTGATGTAAGAAAATTAATATTTTTTGATTCTCTCTGACGAGTGCTCTTTGAGTATCTAAGTGGAGGGTAATCGAGTAGCTGTATTTATCGAGGAGCGTTGCCTGACAACTTAAAAGTTCTTACAAACACGCTAACAATTTTTTTTTTAATACAGTTATGAAAAAACACGGCAAGGTACCATTGTAAGACATTAACTTTGATGGAAAATGGCTTTCATGGAAAATGGTTTTAATGAAAATTATGAATGAATTAGTCCTCGGCAGCGATCTTGAACTATTTAGAAACGCAAACTGTTGCGTTTCAAACACACACACTTCAGAGCTGTGAATGTGCACTAAAAAGGACAATTTGTTTGTAATGTTTGCCCTTTTTTACCATCTTTTTCATTATTTTAATGTTTGTCCATATACCTTGTCCCTGGGTTTAACATTGGCCATTAGTGTAATGTCCCAATTTCTGCAATGGGACAAACTAATTAAAGACAGAGAACCAAAGCGAAAGAAATCATATGGAGTTAAGTGAAAGTATTTAAGTGTCATCGTTTTATCCCATCGAATATACTTAACCTATTTAGTTCCTGAAAGAAATCACACGAGACAAACCAGGATATTATTTCAGGAAACCCCAAAGTGCTCGAAGCACTAGTGCAGCATTAGAACTACTGTGATAGATCATCTTTTGGTCCTTACTCACGTCTGCTGATCTCTTCACTTTGAAGCAGGCCGGTATTATAGTTTTAGCGGGACTTACATCTCACATCTTACATCTTACACGGTGCAAGGTATGTTCGAATGGTTACTGACAAGGACAATACAAATTTATTACTTCGTGCGGACAAAAACACGAACTGTTTTCTTTTGTCATATAGATAAACAAACGATCGCTTGTTTAAGCTTTGTCACAGTTTTATGATTTTGACAAGGTGCACTTTTCAGGTTTGAGTGTAACTTTTAGCCCTTTTAGTTCTCACAGATGAATAATTTTCGGTCATTTGTTGGCGCCTTATCACGTTTCGTTTACGTCTTTAGCTCAACTTATTTTGAAATCTCTCTACATATATCGGCTCTTCTGTGAGCGCAAAGGTATTGAATAAAATGAATCAGCCGAATGCGTTTTTTGTTTTTGTCTTATCAGCATGTAACGTATCACTTCAGGGAGACAAGCGATTCAGTATTGTATATGAAAATAATTACTTTTCTTCACGTTTTTATAAATTCTGTTTTGGTGATTAATGTTCAAAATGAATTTCAGGTTGCTTTTATTAGGATTTAGAGTGAACATAAAGAATATCTAATTGCCAAACAAATTAGAAATTATATCTTTATTCCGCAATGTCTTTCATTCATTTGAGATGAGCGACAAACTTGTTAAATATAACCTTGTAATCAAAGGAAAATTTTTTGTGCATTCAAATAAGGAAAAGAGTATTGCTTAAAAACGAGAGGAGAGTTGTTTTGAGCGAAAGCAAATCTAGACAGGCAGACGGTAGCCCGGGAGAGTTAATTCTCTCAAAAGAATGTGTCATTGTGTACGACAATGGAAATAATGGAGCTAAATGCTTCAATTATACCGTTCGAAAGTTTCACTACGGCTGGAACTTCCAAAAAGACAAAATCCTGTCAATATACAATAACTCGGCCTGTATAAAAGACAGGAACAAAGCTCTCACAATATAAGGATTCAAAACAAAGGAAAAAAATTGGTTCGCTTAACACACGTAGTTTAAAATCTGAGCGGGAGATATTTCACTGATAAGACTAATAAAAACTGATTATTAAGAATTAGAGCAATAAATACAAAACGGAATAAAGCGAAAATAATATCACCGATGGGAAAAATGAAAACAGAGAGGTCTTCTGTGCGATGAACATTCATTTCATTAGCATTTCATGCGAAGTTTAATCGGCATCGTTACCTCAATCATTAAGCGAAATCTTGCTTTTCAATTCTATATTAAACCGTACAAGAGCAATAATCTTTCACATGGTTTTCGAAGAAATCGAATTGAATTGAATCGGCTGTCAAAACAAACAAGCTTCTGTCTGCAAGTCTGCGGACGGTCAAAAACAGTTTTAACCAAAAGCGGTTTTAACCAAAGCGGTCTTTCGCTTGATTTTTGAAATTTACCAATTCCAATTATATAACAAATACTATTTTTAGCACCAAGAAATAACTAATTATCACTCTCGTTTTTCCATTGAAAACCCTGCTAGCAAAACAGAATGACGTTTACTTAGATTCCGCTATGAAAATGGCCCACATGAGCTCTGCTTTCCAGTGAAGACACGATACTGCCATTACAGTAAATCTCATATTTTCGAACGTTTATAAGTTTTTTCTTCCCATGTTATGATTTGACCTCCAACTTGTGAAAACCCTCCTCCCGCAAAAAAATTCTCGGAAAACCTTTACGACAGATTTTAGTAAAAGTTTGATAATATTAATACATCCATCTGCATTTTTGCAGTTTGTTTTGAAGTTTAATTAGTGTGAAGACATAAATTGAACGTTGGTTTAACTTTTATTCAGTTTGCTCCCTGGTTAGGTCTTATATCATGAACATCCTTTCATCAGTAATTTCAAGATACAAGATCTGTCAGGGCTGTACGGTCTAAAAGATTTAACCAGGCTTCATAGAAGTCAGGAAACAGTACTTTTCAGCTACTCCAAAGAGAGTGACTCGGTAAGCAAGGAACACGATATGTGTTTATCAATTTATTTTTGTTTCTCACCTGATCATTCAAGCAACGTTTTATATTGAATTGATTAGTAAGGATAGCAGTCTCAATGCTCTGTGTTAATTCAGTACCTCTATGATGGGTTGTGAACTCTTTTTCATTTTCCAAGTGCCGTTTTTCCTGCCGGGTAGGGCAACATTATAGTTTTCATTATCATGCTTTTGGCGTTTTAGTGACCCTCATCTTTACTGATCAAAACTATTTCTAACAGATTGTGTGATATTTTATGTGAATAAATACAAACTGGTAATTTTAATAAAGCGGCTTTGGGATTCCCCTCAACCATTTTACTCCGAACCTCGGTGTAAAAGCAAATTTTGTTGCCGTGTAGACCTGCTCAATCAATACAGCACTTGTCAGTAATTGTTATAGGAGAGAGCCCAGTGGGAAAAACACATTGTACATAGTGAAATGTGGAAAGCGAGGTAACTAATGACCAGAAATGTAGTAAAGTGTGCACGAAGTGATTTAAGTGTAAAATGTAGAGTAAATTATTTTAAACGAAGTATGTAATTCTTTAAAAAGTATGGTAAAGCAAGCCTGTGCTCTAAGCAAAATTGTAAGGTGCCCAAGGGTTCTTTTGTAGGAAATCTTGGGTGCCCAGCTCTAACAAGCTTTTATAAGAATGAAGTTAAAAAATTCGCCCAAAGACAAAACTTGGTCGCCTGAGGCACCCGGGCTCTGCTAGACCACAGCCTTGTAAAGAAAGTGATGCAATGTTAGTTTATCCTTGTAAATGTTGTGATATGTTTATAATAAAAAAAGAAGGCAGGCCACTTTTCTCTCAAGAGACAACATCGCAAATTCATGAAAAGGGATTAAAAGTACCACAAACCACAATAGATTACCCAAAACGAAATATTTGAGGGTTTTTTTTTTGCCTATAAACTATTAATTCAGTTGGCGCCCATTTTCGGGTCTTCCATGGCAGCACCTCCTCTCACATGGTAATATAATTGCAAGCTCCGTAGTGCACACAGAAATCCCATGATTTATAGCGCTCAAGTTATCCCGATATGAGTCTCTGCACCGTGAAAACACCGAGAAATGCAGAACTGCTGGATGAAGTTATGAAGTATCCGTAATCAGCCGAAGGCCGAAGAAGAGTCTGGATTATTCTGGATATTCTAAAAAACAAATATCATTCCAGACCCAGGAAGAAGACCCCCTGGCTAGCCAAAGCCAAGTAACAAATTAAAATATCCCATTGAAGACACGCACGAAGAACGCATCGAGCAGCAACGTTTCCTTTCACCAACGTATAACATAATTGCGTTTGAAGAGGAAATGTGAATTCTGGCCGGGTTTAAGCGGATACGACAAATATACGTTATTGAGTTAGCTTGAGTTCCGTATTAGGAATATTGATCGAGTTTACTTTTTCGCAAGTTTATGGACCGAGTCGCGGCCGAAAGAAAGAAATATTTCGGGAAATAAACATTACAGCCTTTAAAATCCCAACTGGCGGGAGACAGACCAGTTTCCTCTTTAAAAGCATGAGCGGAGTCGAACTATGCTCTACCGAGAAACAACTTCAACTTAGTGGTCAGAGTGGAGCTAAGACCACGACCTCCAGATTTCAATCCAGCACCCCAACGCTGCCTCCTTAAACTCCTCAAACTATGAAGGAAAAAAGATTTCTAATCAACAGCAGGCTCCTCCCTCTGTTATCGCCTTGTCGCTAACAGCTCCGCCTCTTGACTAATTATATAAATCGGACCAACCATATTTGAGCAGTAAGTTGTTCGTTTAATCACAGGCGTCCCAAACTCACGATTCGAGGAATCGATCAAATATGAATGATTTATGCACAGGGAGCACACAATCCTGTTGAATAGGAAGAGAGTAAATAAAGGAATGAAAAGAACGAATAGTTTACCTTTGTCTCCTGCTGTTATTTCTTACGCGACCTTACAGAGAAAACCGCTACTTACAAGTCCTGCGTAGCACTTTAGCGCGAAACTCGTGCCTAGGCCTTTTCGCGCTCTGCGAAATTTTTTTTTCTTTGCATATAACATATGTTATTACATTAACGGACAAGAACAAGAAGAACTTGTGGAAAATGACTTGCAAAATATACTCGAGCGGTCGCAGTCCAACGCGACTGAAAGAAACACAAAATGTGTCGTGAAAGCTAAGAAACCCAGTGCTTTGCTTCGCATTTAACAAACTCAATAAGGAAAACGTTTGTGAGATTAATTTATTTAGGAAATTCAGCTTTCTAAGTCTCAAAGTATTGTTGGCACAAATTGATGTCAGGAATGAAACATCACAACACCACTCCTGAAAATCAGTTAAAATGAACACTGACATAACCTTGCTTTCTGACGAAATGTTCCAGTCCGTTTCAGGGCACAGCAGTGAGCAAAGTATAGCTCACTAAGAGCTCACGGCCAAATGTTCCGCAGCTAAGAAAGTGTCTCTGACATGATATCAATTGATTTGAGAATCACCAACCACAGAGGACAAAAATTTCTACTGTCACGAACGCTCCTTTCATTCGAATTTCCTCCAATGTTTAACGCAACCGCAAGTTTTCCGAGCGTATTTTTCAAATCCTGCAATATTCGAGGCTTCGTCCAGTTTTTTAAGCTTTTCGTAGTTCAAGTCTGCTTTCGATGTAAGTTTTTAATTCCACGACAAGAGACGCTCGTCGCTCGCTTCAAGTTTGATAGTGG